CAACAAAAAGTGTGCCTTAGACCCTATGATCTTAAGTTCTCCAAGTGGAATTTGATACATGATTTTAGTAGTTTAAGAGGAATGTAGGGCTGAGAATGCAGCTCAGTTGGTAGAGTGCTTGCTTAGCATGCATGAAGCCCTGAGTTTGATCCCTGGGACTGCGTATACTGGACATGGTGATACATACCTATAATGCCAGCACTTGGGAAATGGAGACAGGAGAATCAGGAGTACAAGGTAATCCTATGATACATAGGGAATTCAAGGTCTGCCTAGGCTACATGAGACCCTATCTCAAAAAATAACATGGACTGATTGAACATATCGCCGCAACTGGGGATGTAGAGGGAGAAATGCAGATGCCATTCATGGCTAATGACATTCCACACCTCGTTCTTTCCTCTGTTCATAGACAAGAGGAGAATTCTTCTTCCTCTCCTCCTCCTTCCTTCCTCCTCCTCTTCTTTCTTCTTCATAGTAACCTAGATAAAAAGTTATATATTTGATGCTTTTCAGGGCACATTAATAATCAGGTTTCATGCTGTTGTTGAATCTCATGATAAAAAACATTCTTTTTGCAATGGGAGCCTCCTCCAAAGACAGAGAACATCAGCTTAACACCACTAATCTCTGCTACACGGACATCCCACCCAGTAAGCCCAAGGAAAGTTTTTCTTTTCCCTATATAAAGATATACGAGGACACAGAGTCTGATAATGGCTTGGTAAATTCATCTGATGTTTGTTTGTGGCAGCACACTCATCTCTACTCTCTACCCCAACCTCAGTTTCAGGCAGAGAGTATGGCTCATGCCCCCATTATTCATGCCACAGGGCTGTGGGGATTAAGTTCTTTGCCTTGGTGCTGGAAGAAAGTCAGATGCTGGTTTCTGAAGCCACTTCTCCTATAGCCAGTCAACACTCGAGTAAAGCTCTGCCAATTACTGGCTTTGTGTCCTTGGGTCATATAATTGCGCATATCTAAGTTGTCATCGGGATTAAATGAGCTAATATTTGTCAAGGAATAAGAATAGGGCCTGCAGGCTGTAGAGATGACACGGCAGTTAAGAACCCTGACTGCTCTTGCAGAAAACCCAGGTTCTAATTTCAGCACCCACGTGCCAGCTAACAACCATCCTCACTCTAGTTCCAGGGCATCTGATGCCCTCTTCTCACCTCTGAGGGCATTGCATGACAGGGGTAAACTTATGTAAATTCAGGCATAACACTCATACACATAAAATAAAAATAATAAATAAATTTTTTTTAAAGAATAGGGCCTGACACTTTGTGTCTTGTATTTGTTAGATGAATAAATGCATTTCAGCTGGCTGTGCTGGCCTGGAATCCCAATATTTAGGAGGCAGAGGCAAGAGAAATTCTAATTTAAGGATAGTCTGGGCTATATACTGATATTCTGTCCCAGAAAATTGCATTTTGAAGTTTATGTTTTTGAGCTGTAGAGATGGCTCAGTTGCTAAAGTTTTTGTTCTGTAAGCTTGAGGTCCTGGGTTCAAGTCCCAGAACCCATGAAAAAAAAAGGCAGGCATGATGGCATGTGCTTGTAATCTTGCACTGGGGAGGCAGAGACAGGTGGATTCCCCAGGCCTCCCTGGTCAGTCAGCCTAGTTTAATCAGTGGCAGATGGTACCTGAGAAATGATACCTGAGCCTGATCTCTGGTCTGCACAAGCATGAGCATACATGTGTATATGTACATCCATGTGCACCCCACATGAACATGCACACTCACTCAATCACATACATACACACAAGAGGCCACATTATTTTGGTGTGTGATGGACTTTAAATTCTGAAGTTAGAACAAAGCCAGCATGTTTGGTTTGGACCACTTATCTGCTCAGCTATCAGAATGAACATCAACTAAGATTTGTATTCTGTGGTGAGTTTCATCAATACCATAAAGCAAAATTAAAATTCCTGGAAAGAAGATCCAGAGCGCCACTCAGGTGCCTGTTCAGAGGAGTCAGCCTGTTGCTGATCCAACAGGAAGTGTATGTGTCAGAACTGGGCTGGTATATGTGCTACCAAGACCCCCCCCCCAACACAGCAGCTCAGAGCGGGGTTCTGGGAAAAAAGTCTTTTAAAAGAAGTTAGAATTTAGAAAGCTTCCCAGTGATAACAGACATTATATTTTGTCCGGCTAATCTCAGGACATTATTTAACAGTATCATTCAACAATAGTTGAATAGTATTCTGAACAAATTTTATGTGGGAAATATGTTCGTGTTCTCAATTCTTGGTTGTCTAGCCAAGTGGGTAAATACAATTGTACATAAAATGTGACTAGCTAGCAACTTTAAAAAGTCTTAATTTGAAGCTTATAAAATGCCCATCACAACTCAAGTGTTAAGAGATAAATCCAATGTTTATTATTTGATTATGCTTTAAAAATATCAGAGAAGTCTGCTATATATAGAGGTATACCTGTTAAAAATAAATCCTTAGAGACTGGAGAGATGGCTCAGTGGTTAAGAGAACTGGCTGCTCTTGCAGAGGACCTGGCTTTGGTTCCTAGCACTCACAGGGTGGCTAACAACCATCTGCAACTGCAGTTCCAAGTGATCTGATGTCCTTTTCTGGCCTCCACAGGCATTGCACATATGGGTGCACCTACATACATGCAAGCAACACACTCATACATATAAAATAAAATAAATAATTTATTAAAGAAACGAATTCTTTAACAGTATAATTGATGTCTAATTTATCTACTTTAAGTTCGATTAGGCTTTGATAGGTAAGTTTTTGAAATCAGAACATAATTGAAAATACTTAAATGTTTTCTCCAAAATGGTAATACTTTTTAAATTTTTTAAAAATTTTTAATTGTTATTTTTAGTTAGCATACAAAGAAACACACTGTGGTCTCACTGTGACATTTTCATCTGTCTGTCTATCTAGCTATCACCTATCTATCGTTTATAATCTATCTATCTGTGTATCTATGCATCTATCTGTCTATCTATCATCAATCTATCCATCTATGTCTATATCTATATTTCTAATTACACTTTGCTCTTACTCGTCTGAACCACTGCCTTCCCACATCTCCTCCTCCCTTCTTGCTGGTCCTTTCCTCTAAACAGTTCCCTTTTGTTCCCCTCGTAACAACTTTTAGATAGTGTATTTCATTTAAAATAAAACATGGGCTCACTTGAAAATGATATAATTAAGAAAAATCGGGGCCAGAGAGGAGCAGTGATTAAGAGCACTGACTGTTCTTGCAGAAGATCCGGGTTAAAATCCCAGCACCCACATGGCAGCCAGCAGCTGTCTATAACTCCAGTTCCAGGGAATCTGATGGCCTCTTCTGTCCTCCATGGCATTGCATGACACGGGTGCACTTACCTGCATGCAGGCAATACACGCATACACATAAAATAAAAATAAAAAAATTTTAAAAAATTGAATATGTTATTAAAAAAGAAAAATCTAAAGGAGAAAATGAATATTTTTATTAACTATGACTTGATTATGTTGTATAATATTAAACTTTTTAGACACAAACAGATATGGGTTATTTAAGATATTTTCTTCACAAAATGGTTTTGTAGATTATAGCTTATTTTTATAACTTGAATATATGTAATGGACAGTTGTGTAATATTTCCTAATAATTTTATAATCTTCAGCCATTTTAAGATGTTTTGCTCTCTCTCTCTCAAAAGGAACTCACTATCTCTCTCTCTCTCTCTCTCTCTCTCTCTCTCAAAAGGAACTCACTGTGTAGGCAATGCTACCCTCAAACGTGCGGCACATCTGTCTCAGTCTCCCAAGTTCTGGGATCAAAGCATGAACCACCACACCCACCTATTTCTGTTACTTTTTAGACTTTATATTGATTTTTATATGTACTATTTGACTTTTCTTATTACACCTCAGACCCCTAAATATATTATAACCTGTTTCAAACAGAGCCCTTGTTTTATTATTTAGCGCACCCTTCAGAATAGTAAACCCAATGTGTTATTTGCAGTGGATGTTCAATAAAAACATACCAATTGACAGTGATTGATTAGTTTGCTTGACAAGATGCCATTAACATTCAATTTCTGAGCTCAAGGGTAAGCATCCTTGGAAATCCAGGGATTTCCACAAGAGCAGACATTGTAAATAACATTCTAAATATCACATCCCAAGTGCAGAGAAGGAGATTCATTATCAAGAAGCAGTCAAAATTTGGAACAAAAGAAAAAGCCTAATGATTTTGGGAAGATGAGCATGTCTCTGCCACAGGGAGGGAAGTGCTTGATTTACAGGTAGACTGCCAAGGGAATTCTGTTCTCTGGGTTACTTCTTGACAGCTATGATTATAATTACATTTTATTTATATTATTAACTAATTTAATTCGCTAGTCATTAGTCATTTTTCTGCTTCAAAAGCAGAGATGATCAACCAGATGTCCCCTGGGGTTTCTGCCACCTCTAATCTGCAGGCTTTGATGGTCCACCAATAGGAAAGGAACCTTCAGAGTCCACATGGGAGTGTCACGTGGGTGCAGCTTCCTAACAGGCTAGTCATCATGGGGTGTTTCTCTGACGGGTGGTGTAGGGTGGGGTTTGGGCATGTGGTGAGGAAGTGGACACTGTCACCATCCTCATCAGCTGGGCTGCTCTGTCTGTGCCACTTACAATGGTTTCAAGAAAACAACACACACAGAAGTTACTTCTGGGAGCAATTTAGCATCACTCTGCATCAGGCAATAGAGACAATATTCTAAAAGAAAAATCACAAAACCCATGATTCCTGAGCTGAGAGAGTTCAGTTTATTAGAAAAAGAGTATGACATGGGAGTTAGCCCACAGTCCCAACAGGACAGAGTGTTCTCCATAAGAAGGGGCTTCCATGCGAACGATGAGTTAGTTTGGCATTGAGGAATAGGCTTCTCAAAAAATGCAGTATTCTGTTATGATGCCCTGAGAGGCAGCAGAATTGCGCTGGCAATCTCCTGGGGGATCCTTAGTGTTAAGGGTTGACTCAGCAGCAGGGGTCGCAGGGGGAGGTCCTGCAGGTGACGCGGCAGGGAGCAGGCTGGCAGCAGGGGGGCCGGCAGCAGGGAGCCTGCACAGAGATGGGCTGGCAGCTGGTGGAGGCCCAGCAGCAGGGTCTGCAGACCACAGCAGTGCAGGAGGTGGGGCAGCAGGTGATGGGGCGGCAGCAGCCCTGCTGCAGGCTGCAGGGGTCACAGCAGATGGGGCGGCGGCAGGGCTCGCAGATGGGGCGCGTGTAGTGGGGCACGCAGGTCACTGGGCGGCACACGGTGGTCTGGCAGGACACTGGGCGGCAGCAGCAGGGGTCGCGGCTGCAGCAGGGCTGGCAGCAGCCTCCACAGCTCTGGGAGGAGAAGGATCCGCAGCAGGAGTCGGTCATGGTGGTGGTTTGGTCTGGTGTGGGGTGGAGGAGTGGAGAGCAGTGGGTTGTTCTCAGGTGTGATGACTTCCTCTGGGTTGGGTCCCTTTATATACCTGGGCAGGTGCTGATGATTCCTGGGACACAGGACATTTCCTCGTTTTGGTTTATTCCTTCTATAATGAGTTGGTAGGTTAGTAAGTTACCTTGACACGTTTTGGGTGCTCAGGAACTCTTAGAAGATCATTTGTGCCTCCTTATTTAATAGCAACCCATTATATTTTGCTATTTATGATTCAAATATGAACATAATGACCCTGACTTCAAAGTCTCCAATTGTCTTCATAGTTCGATGATGCTTTTGCCACTTGCTGTTTTGATGGTCAGATCAGCTGCCATGACCTTAGGGTTCCTTACTAACAGTGGGAGTGAATTCACCAAACAATTGTGTAGATCCTTTCCCACTGCTCAGCTTTCTGGATAAAAAAAAAGGTGAGTATGTTACAGGAATATTTTAAAGGGCTGTCAATCAATAAAAAAGGCATTTCCCATCTCCTTGTGGAGCCACATGAATGCAACTTTGCATCATCCGTGGTTTTCATCTTCAGTGACATTCATCGATCTCACAGGCTCTTATCCTTCTAAGCCAAGGTGGATTTCATTGCTATCTTCATCTTATTTAGTATCACTGAGTCCCAGCTGTGGTTCAAACATCATGCTGAATGAAATACATGCATTACTTTATTCTCCCTAATACATTTCAGTTATTGTAGCTCTCATTTTACCTCTACAAGGTAAGTACATGTTGCAAAGATACTAAACCCCCAAATAAGTATGGCAATATAGCTTGCAAGCTCAAAAAGCAAGAGAATGAATAGTGCCCAGACCTTGAGGGGTATATGCTTTATCTAGAATTTTTAATGGTGCATGTGTTTTGTGAGAATTGTTATTTGTGACATGGCTAGTTTGTACAGTCATCTGAAAGCACCTCATCTCTTACAATATCCTCAGGAATTGGAAGAATTGTTTCCCACATAATTTTGGAATTCTGAAAATTTCAAAATGTGCCTCAAGGACATAGTGTCACAACTGGGCATAATTAAGAGGTCATGAGTCACTGAACAAGGCCACCAAGAACTTGAAGAAGTCATCCAGATAAAGGCTTCTATCATCCACACAACAAAATCCTAGGTGGTTGCTCCAATATGAAGTAGACCCACACCCCATCTTGTCCATATCTAGTACCTCCCGCATCTCTCTGTGTGTTAGCTTTAATGAAGTTCATTCATACTATGTGGACTCAACTGTGAAGCGCAATTGCTTCAAACGGTCAGGACTTTTAGGAAAATTACATCACTATTGTTTAGCTCATGTCTCTTAATTTGTCCTTTCTTTACAGGAATTCTTGTCTAGAGCTGTGGTAGGAGGTTCAAGTTTACTACACATTGATCCCACTACTTGCACAGTTCCTTACAAGTTTATCCAGAGCTACAGCAGCCACCGTGGCTGACCTAGGGTATGGGGTAACCATGGAAACAAATAAGATCCAATAATAATGATGTGTTCAGTAGAAAACAAAGAGTTGTCTATCTGACAAAACACAGTAAGATGAGTGAGTTTCTAGAAGTCTAAGAATAAAACTTTAAAAGAAGGAAAATAAATGCAATTAGAGATTTTTAAAAATGGGGAGCAGAGATACATAGAAAGAAATTTGATTAACAGAGAGCTAGGGATGTAGCTTAGCTGTAGATCACTTGTTTAGCATTCACAAGGCTCTATCCACGGCATTGCAAAAGCAAAATGAAGAAATGGGATTTGCAAACCTATCCTGCATCAGTAAACAATTGGCCCCTCAATAATAAGAAAACTTCGTTGTATACACAGTGAAGATGCCAAACTGTAAAATGACGCAATGACTACTATCAAAGAGTCCCTAATCACTGAATATGCTCTGTGTATTGCTTCTTGAAAAAACTTTTACCATGAACTAACTTGTTTTATTACAAAAATGCACATGTCAAAAACGAGAAGACTTGGGCTGGGATGATAATGTTCTCACTTCTGGCTTCCTTGATATTTATCTATTTTTAAAATAATTTTTATTCCCCTGGAACTGGAGTTAAGGATGGTTTGCACTCACATACATGCAGGCAATACACTCATACACATAAAATAAAAATAATAAAATATTAAAAAAATAATTTTTATTATATCCTATGTGCCAAATATCGTACAGGTAAGTAGGAATCCAGTCATGGACAAAACCAATCAAGATCTTCCCCTCATAAAGCCTCCTTGCTTACCGTCTCTCAATGAGCAGTAGATGTGACTAAGCATGAGTGGCACATTCAAAAGACTCATTCAAATTAGATTCCAGAGGCTCAAAATTTTTTTCAAGAAAACAACAACTACAGCAACAGCAACAACAGTGGCTAGTCTTTTTGATTGTCCTAAATGGGACTAATGACAACAAATCCATCCCCGTAAAGGATTAATGCCACCGATATTTCAACCACTCGGGCACTGTTTCAGCCAGCAAGTGTCTGTGGGGCTACAACCAAGGCTGTGTTTCTCTCTGTCCTCTCAGCAGCCACCACTGCCTTGGAAGCTGAACTGGCCCCATCAGTGCTGGTGGGGTGGGAAAATGGCTGTTCAAGTAGATGGAAAGGAATGCAGTGGTGAGGGATTCTTAGGAGCTACCGGGCATCAGTCACTGCATAGTGTTCTACACCAGGCTGTGACTTGGGCTTTCTATCTGTTATCATATGTATGGATGTTTCATGAATCAAATTCATGATCAAAGACCTGCCTCCCCGTTTTCTTCCCGTGGCCACAAGAATCTGTGGCTCAAAATATGAAAATCCACGGATGAAATGTTCTGAATGATTTGAATTTTACAATTACAGACCAGTCACCTGAACTATCTTGGGGTAAATCTCAAAATATGGTCCTTAGAAACATCTTCCCTTGATTCTTCTAATTCTGCATACTGTAAGTTATTTTAAAAATGGGTTTGTAAATGTTAAGAAAGAATGCAAAGAAGCATATTTACTTCCCCATAAATAAAATTTTATTTTTTATCATGCAAAACCACAGCATAAAAACACCACACTGGAAAAAAATTCCATCTAAGAACCTCGAAATAGTAGAAAAATTAGAATGACCCAAGGGGATGAAGCACCGTTTAAGAAGAACTTGGTCTTTGTTTACGATTTTTTTGAAGTCAAGAATTTAACTGATGGTGAAGATTGTTCTAAAGATTTTTAGAAGGCTAATGAAGTATATTTGGGTTGATGGGGAGTCACTGTTGAGTGAGTTGAAGACGAGTGAGGTGCAAGGATGGCGTCTCTTATCTGCTCCGGGGAGTAGGAAGAGTTCGTATACCGGAAAGGTGACTCAGCAGCAGGGGTCGCAGGGGGAGGTCCTGCAGGTGACTCGGCAGGGAGCAGGCTGGCAGCAGGGGGGCCGGCAGCAGGGAGCCTGCACGGAGATGGGCTGGCAGCTGGTGGAGGCCCAGCAGCAGGGTCTGCAGACCACAGCAGTGCAGGAGGTGGGGCAGCAGGTGATGGGGCGGCAGCAGCCCTGCTGCAGGCTGCAGGGGTCACAGCAGATGGGGCGGCGGCAGGGCTCGCAGATGGGGCGCGTGTAGTGGGGCACGCAGGTCACTGGGCGGCACACGGTGGTCTGGCAGGACACTGGGCGGCAGCAGCAGGGGTCGCGGCTGCAGCAGGGCTGGCAGCAGCCTCCACAGCTCTGGGAGGAGAAGGATCCGCAGCAGGAGTCGGTCATGGTGGTGGTGTGGTCTGGTGTGGGGTGGAGGAGTGGAGAGCAGTGGGTGGTTCTTAGGTGTGATGGCTTTCTCCCAGTGCCGTCCTTTTATATACCTGGCCCAGGCCTGATGACACAAGGGCACAAGGGCATTTCCTGGAGTTGTGGTTGCCCATTGAAATGAAAGCCCTGGATCCAGTTGCCAGGCAACAATCCAGCACGAGCAAGGATGCTTTCCTTTCCACCTTTCTCCTCTTTCCCTTCAAATGACTACCTGATGATTTGAATCATCAGAAAGATCGCTCAACCGTGAGCCAGTCCTCCCAGGCCAGGTCATGTGACAGGCTGACCTTCCCAAGGACACACTGCTGCCCCAACCACCCTTGGTTCTTGTCCACAGTTTCTGAGGAGGTGGGAGGCTGCGATGTACATGAGTCACAGTCCTGGTTTCTGGTAGACATTCTGACACAGCAACAATTCCTGAAAAGCTAATGGCTCATAAAGGTCGATTAGTCTCTTTTCTGCCATGGAAAATATAGCTTAGGGCTTCTGTGAAACAACCTATTGCCTCTCTTTGTTCATAAATAATCATCAAAGTAACTGAATGTTAAAAATATGTAATCTGAGTTGTCCTATAACTCACAGTTTCCCATGAGGCACTTACTACATTAACAATGCAATTACTCTTTAGGGGACTGGAGAAAGAAAAACAAATCCTGTAGTGTCTTACCATACAGTAATCACAAATTTTAGTGGGGCAAGATAAAACTAGTTAAGAAACTAACAGAACTTTTCATGGGTCAATAAAACCAAACCAAATGAGGATTTTATTCATATTGTGCCCTTTTTTTCTTCAAATATTTCATAGGTGAATACAATGCATCTTTATCATATTCCCCCCAGTCCTTCCCTCTGGCTTCCCTACCCAATGTAGCTCCCTTCCTGGTTCAAGTCCTTTCTTCCACCCCCTTCTCTCATACCTCACCGAGTCTACCTAGTGCTCCACTTGGAGCACGGACAACCTGCCAGTGGTTGCCTCTCAAAGCAAAGTGCCTCTTACTCACATAGCAGCCACAACCACAGCTGCCAAGAGCTGCTGAGGTAGGAGTGAGCCTCAGTCACCCCTGTCTGAACTGCCTTGATCCTGGGCAGGTAACCACAACTGCTGAGTTCCTGTGCAACAGCCGTTCCTCATTCAGAGGCCAGCATCTCATAGCACTTCTTCCCCATCCTCTGGCTCGTTCATTCTTTCTGATCCCTCTTCTGAGAAGTTTCCTGAGCTGAGGAAGAGATAGTTATAGATCTCCCATTGATGACTCCTTACTCACAACTGATTATTCTCAGCATTTTGAACAGTTGTGACTTTCTTGAATGAATTGTCTTGACTGAATTTACATATCAAAGTGAAATCAGCAATTTTTTCTAGGTATTGCATAAGTATCATGTAACTAAGTTCTTTACAATGCACCACTATAAAAGTTTCTTAAAA